CGAGTGATACATGGAAATTGTAAATTATCGGCGATACATGTACGTACACGATTTATAGGTGATCGATAACCCGATGCACATAAATAATACGAAATCGCAGGATGTGTGGGTAAGAAATCAAGTTGCCAAATCAATCATTAAACAATCGCGCATTCAAACCGTCAATTAATCAATTGCGAAATAAATAACCACGAAAAATGCAACTCAATATTCCCGATAATTTTTTATTTGCGATTCTCCTTATACACAAACTAAGGCCTAATGCTTAAAATATAAATTTAATGAACAATTAGTAAAAAAATTTGTCTTTGTTCAAATTGCTAATTTTTCAAGTATCCCCAAAATATCTTTTGCCTTCTTCTTTATTTTTTCGTAGTCAAGTTCATAATTGTCACTTCATCTCTTTCTTCAAACGATAATGGAATGTAACTTTCAGCCAGTTCAAAAAAATCCGCAATTTGGTTATATACTTCATCACTATAACTGTTTTTATCATCCAAGTAAACTTTTAAAAATAGTTTAAGTAAATCATCCCTTTCAACTTCCGAGTTGGCAATTCCATCGAGGATGTCTTCATATACTGTAAGTACGACTGCACGTAATTTGAATGGTGGTTGTGTTACATGGTTGTATTGAGTATCACTTAGTTTCCATCCAGACCATAGTTGATAATCTTTATCTCCTCCACGGTAAATTATAACACAGTTATGAGATACAGAGTCAACTATAAAGTACGCATCTTGATTCTTATAGGTTCCCACTATAAACATTGTTTATGTTTCTGTGAATAAACTCTTGAAGGGTTCTCTGATGATTATTCCAATGGTCATTTTCGGTAAATCCCCAATATCCTTTGTGTCTATCAAATATATGTTGCAATCCCCTACGTATATAATTAATCTGATTTATATCAAAGTACATAAATACAGGATTGTATACATTGGCATATGAATAAGTTTTATATTCTCCGTAAACTTCATAGGTGTTTAGCCTGATCTGATTCATTCCAGAAACAGTTCCAATCCAATGACTTCCAGAATATACATATCGACCATCAGGAAGAGTCGAACGGTTGCTATGATTACTTATATAGAACCAATGCCCATCGAGCCATTCTCTATTTGATTGGCTATCGTCTTCATATAATCCAATCCAGTCCCATGTAGATGGTGTAATTATTGACCAAGTAAATTCTAATTTTCCTGAGTTTATTATACACCTTAAGTAACATATTTCTCTCCTTTCGGTTTGCGACATTATGTAGGTTTCTTCAGAGTAGAAAAATAAGTTTGGTTGGATCGTATAATTATTTGTAGTCATTATATTCTGGGGACACTTGAAGAATAGGTACCCCAGTGATCATCACATCACATGAAATCATTAATGACGTCATTTGTTTACTCGCA